GGCTACAAACCCACTCTCCTTCCCTGCTTCGCGGTGCCTGTTGTATTTTAATGTATTTTGGTTTTACTAATTAAACTGATTCTATTAGCCTTTTATCAGGCCGGTTTTGTGAAGATATTCCTGTATCTTTGTTTTCTTATCGTCAATCAGCTTGCCTGATGAAGATCGCGTTCTGTATTTTCGTTTCTACGTTTAAGGTTTTTGTTTAAGAACATTAAGAACATAATTGTTTTCTATCCTTTTCCTAGTAGGATGATTCATGTCAAAGCACTGTTGGCAAATATCGTAGGCTCTTTTCAGATGTACATGTGCCTCTTGTTGATTCCCAAGCTTTATCAACAACATAGCAAGGTTGTTTAGATCCATTGCCAATATTGGATGATTGCTATTATATAAGGATTCTGAAATCGTTAATGCTTCTTCCAAACATTTCTTTGCTTCATTGCGTTCTCCAAGTTCCTCCAGCAGATTTCCAAGATGGCTCAAGTGCTCTGCTAGTTGAGGGTGAATCCTGCCGTAGACCTTTCTGTCAATTTGAACAGCTCTTTCGAGGCATTCCTTAGCTTTTTCCCGATTTCCAAGCTTTTCATTTGCCATTCCTAGGGTAGCTAAATGAATAGCCATCTGTGGGTGGTTTTCGTCATTGTAGGCTTGTTTGCAAATATCAATAGCTCTTTCTATGTACACTATTGCTTCATTACATCTATCGAGCTGTTTTAATACACTCCCCAAATTACTTAATGTGTTTTGTAAGCCTGAGTAGTTCTCCCCATATGCATTTTCATCGATGAAAAGCGCTTTTTCCAAGTACTCTAGGGACTCTTTTTCTCTGCCTAGACTGTAGAGCACGCCTGCATAATTGTTAAAAACAGAGGATTTTTGTGGGTGGTTTCCTTCGTATAGGCGTTCATAAATATCGATTGATTCCTTCAAGTACTTTCTAGAATCTTCATATCGTCCAAGATCATTTAGGACATCCCCAAGATAGGTAAGATGTATTGCTAACGTTGGATGATCTCCGTCATACACTCGTTCGTCCATTGCAATCGCTTTTTCAAAGTATTGCTTGGCTTG